GGCTGTAGGTTGAGTTAGGAGAAAAAGAAACAGATGGTCAAATGCCATCACAACGCAATTGACCTTATCTAAAAATTAAGATAATCACATCAAACTAATGTTTTCCTAATAACAAAGCTATACTTTTATTATTTTTTTCCTTAAGAGGTAACCTGAAGTTTAAATTTACATTATGATTACAGCCTTTCTTTTATAAGTTGAAGCACATTATTTTGGTCCATTGAGCAAACTCATTTTTATTCATTGCCTTTTAAAGTTGACATTTAACTTCCACAGCTGTACAGTTGGCAAGAAGCAAAAGAATATTTAATATTCAAGAGAGCAGATCCTAAAACACCATAGCGTTCTATTGTATGGAACGTCTTATAATAAGTGTACATTAACTGAAAGAATTAGCAGAGGACAGCTGAAGGTGCTCATGTGTTTATTTCTTTGCTAATGTTCATAAATTAAATAAAACAAACACGTATTGGGTCATTGGAAAAGCCATGATGTATTTTTCTATGTTTCTCTATGCAAAAATGTGTCATGACCTTTCCAATGACCCAATAATTCTAGAAACTTAGACTAATAAGGGCTGATTTTCTGAAAGACTATGTCTTATAATGCACTTACCAAAATAGAACTGAGAACATTTATGGGTCCTACAGATCTTGGATCTCTAAATCAAACAAAACAGAAACTAGCCATACTCCCCTTCCACTAGAATTTCTATTTAATACCAGAAATAATAAATCTATTCATTCAAGATATAAATATGGTGCATCTGCTGGAGGTAGACTCTCTGTTGAGCGCTTAGGACAGAGCTTTGACAGTCTTGCTCTTCAGAACAATAGATTTAGCAAGAAAGAATGCAAGTAATTGCAACAAAGATCAATAGTGTTACAATAAAGGAAGTACATAGGCTTAGAATCCTTCAGGGAGAGCCTAATCCAGTCAAAGGAAGTAACGGTGGCAGTGAGTATGAGAAGGTCCTCTGGAGGAGGTGGAATATCAGATGAGACTAGGTGACCTCAAAACTAAGATTGAACAAGCACATCAAATTTTGCTTCCTCAAATAGCTCCACTAAAACCACATTAAGAAGGTATTTAAAAATTTTGAAAACTCAGAACCAGCAGATGGTGTAATGCTTATGTCGCTGGACTCTCACATAGTCGATCATGGTTCAAGTGCTGAACCCAGTGGCTTAAAACTTATGCAGGGCATATGTACATGCATGCCCAAAATCCCTAGAGGAGAATGGAGGAGAAGGGATTACGGGATGGCCATCCTCCCTGAGGGGTGAGTTCTCTCTTTCTCTCTCTGTCTGTCTGTCTGGGGAGTGCATGCATCCTATAGCAAAAATCTCTCTAAAAATTTTTTTGAAAGCTCACAAGAATAGAGAGAATAAGAAAAGGGATAACAAAAGCAAATTTTGGAAGCTCAAAAAAAGATGGATAAGTGATCTCTGACTGAGGAGAAAGCTGAATCCAAGTCAGTGAAAGAGGATTGAGGGAGAGCTATTTGAGAAGCAGTTAGGCTCCAAAGCTTCTGTCCTAGTCCCTACCACAGGGTAACTGCCCTTCCCCTACTCCAACAGGAAGCTAGAGATTTATTCACTGGGAAGACTAGAAGAGAAAGTCCTTGATCAACAACACAATTCAGTGACTCTACACGATGAAGGATTAACACTGGGTCCTGGCCAAATTACCTTATCACTCCAGCAAGACAGGCACTAGTTGCTTCATAATTCAGGTAAGAGATTAGGAAGTCTTCTCTGGGACTCTGACCAGCTGAAGAAGGCAGACAAAAGTACTGACACTTTGAAAAAATGCCCCACCTAGACCCTGCCAGTGAAACTCCAAGTCAACAGGCCCCACTCACAGACTCTGAGCCCCAGCACTCAATCATGAGCAGAATGCCGTGGACTGACTACAGATGTCTGAGGGCAATGCCTCTAACATGGAAGATGTTAATAGATACCATACAGGCAAATAAAACAGAAACGTAAAGCATCTTAGAGAAAACGGAGATTGTGCATGAGAAAGAAAATGAAAGAAAACAAACCACCATTAACATTCCCAGATAGATAAGAAAAGATATTGTGGGGCTAGCAGGTGGTGTGGTGGTTAAGGTGCTGGACTCCCACATAACCAGCTGCCTCAAGTCCCAGACCTGGTGACTTGCTTTCTTACTTTCTCTCTCTCTCTCTTTCTGTCTCTCTCTCTAGTGAGCACACATATCTTACAGCAAACTTAAAGAAATATTGGGTCATTGGAAAAGTCATGACACATTTTTGCATAGAAAAATACGTCAATTATTTTTCTGCAACATAATAATAATAATAATAATAATAATAAATTAAATAAGTAAATAAATAATTTTTTAAAAAGATATTGCAGTGGTTAAGGGCACTGGACTCTCACATGGCCAACTATGGTTTGAGTCCTGGACCTGGCAGCTTACTTTCTCACTTTCCCTCTCTCTCTCACTCTGTCCCTTTCTGGTAAAATTAAATAAATAGATAAAGTCAAATAAAATAATTTAAAAAAAAGATACAGCAGTTAAAAAACTAAAAAAGAGATGCTAGAAAAATGGGATTCAGGAAACAAAAGAAAATTTGATAGTAGGACTGAAGGAACAGCAAAGTATATAGTAAAGATGAAAAGAAAATAGAGGAGCGAAATTACAAGAAAATTAAAGGACAAGGACAAGCAACCCAACACCTACATGGAAAACACAATATATCATGAATGAAATTAATCAAGAAAATTCCCCAGAGCTTATACAAGTTTGTAGACTCTAAGTGCGCAAGTGTCCAGCAGAGCACTTACAGCACACAGCAATTCTTGTTTTAATTCTTTTACGTATATTGACTTGTTTAATCTTCATGACAGTTTCACACACACACTTCAGAACTTAGATTTTGTCATCCCTGTAAGTATATTTTCACATCATTTACCTATACGTTATGGAAGTTTGTATTCTTTAGAAAAATGAGAGGATAAGAATTTTTTTTTTTTTGAGAGGTTCTTGCTACGGGGCGCATGTGCTCACCAGAAAAACAGAGAGAGACAGAGAAACAGAAAGTGAGAAATCACTCCCCCAGGGGGGATGACCATGCCGCAATCCTTTCTCCTCCATTCTCCTCTTGGGATCTTGGGCGCGCACGCACACGCACCCAGCGTGTGTTTAAGCCACCAAGTCCAAGACTTGAACTGCGGTCGACTACATGGGAGTCCAGTGACATAGCCATTACGCCAGCTGCTGGTCCTAAGAAGATAAATTTTTTGTAGTAGTAATTAATGCTGTCCCCCAAATACTTTTCCCTCTTTTTCTTCCTTCCTACTTCCTTTCCTTTTCTTTCCTTCCTTCCTTCTTCTTTTTCTTTCTTTTTCTTCCAGAGGGTGCATGCACTGGCCAGAGAAAGACAGAGAAACAGAGAGAAGAGAGAGAAAACACTCTCCCCAGAGGAGCATGGTCACACCACAATCATTTCTCCATTCCTCCTTCCTGTCAGAACTTGAGGCATGCATGCACACGCACCTGTTGTTTTTCAAATCCACCAGTGCCAGGATTTGAACTACACAATCAGCCACATGGGATCCATCTCCCTTAACCACTAAACCATGGGACCAGCCTTACATTTATTTCTTTTATCAGTATAAATAGTTGTCTTTTGCTGTACAGTCAATTCTTAGATTTCATGGTAAAGTTCTATTAAGTTGCCAAATATACTGAATTAGAAAATACACAGGGGTCCCAAAAAAGCCTCTGACCACATTTTTAGCAAACAATTTGGCTTTTTATATATTTACATGTATTTTTATATGTATTTACATAACCTTGTTTTATATGTATGCTGTTTGAAGATATAATAATGTCATAATATTCTATATTATTATAATATATTAATGTATAATTATATTTAATATTAATATATATAATATCAGTTTTGCTATCAGGCATGTACACTTACCATAAAGAGAGAGAGAGACAAAGAAAGAGAAAGTGAGAAATCACCTTCCACAGGGAATAATTTCTCTTCTTCATTCTCCTCTCAGGATTTTGGGCACACACACACATACATGCTGGGCTTAAGCGCCACACCACCTGCTGGCCCTCATTATTTAATATGTATTGGGTCATCAAAAAGTCATTATTTTTTTCATGTTTTTCTGTGCAAAAATGTGTCATGACTTTTCCAACAACTCAATATTTTGATTCCATAACATTGAATTCACCACCAATGGTACCATATTTTATGCCTGAATGAAGCTTACCTAACACATATAGGTTTTCTGAGAGGCACATTTCAGCCTCTTGTACTTAGAAACAAAACAGTACTTCAGCACTATGCTGGGGGGCACATTTTTTAACAGGTCACCAACAAAAAGCATAAAAGTTTGAAAATGTGACACTAAATAGACTGTGAAAAACCACTTGTTAGCAGGATGAGAGCTGAAACAAGAAGGTGGGACATCGCTGTGTCTGACCACAGCTGGGAGTGTGCGTACCCAGAGACTTGAGCTTTTTTATTACGGCTTTGCCCATGTCTTTTAATAAGTATGCCAGCACCACAAGTACTGATTCGGGGATTACAAATAAATCTTAGCAAGTAAGAGAATATGGAATCTGAAAGCAATGAGGATTGACTGTTTCATAGTTGTTATTATTATTGCTATGTGTGTTGATGGGGACAAAAATCTTTTTTTAAAGGAAAGTCTAACATGCCATGTAAAAAGCACTTTGTCAACCTTTGGCAACCTCGTGACATCACCTATGCACACAAAACTCCCAGATCAAGAAATCAAGAAACATGCCAGGTGTGCACGTGGGGTGCCTCAGATCCTGAAGAGGTGGAGGGTTGGAGAAAGGGAATCGAGATGTGATGAGACTCTATTGAGAATGCTTTCTCTCTTGCTCACACACGTTTTCAATCATAAAAAAAAAAAGGAAAAAAATGAAAAGAAATCAAGAAACACTTTGTAAAATCTGCAGCCATTTAGGAATTACTAACATTTTGTTCCAATCTGGCGGATGTCTGGTAAAGAGGGCTCCAAAGCCTGTAGCAGGCAATCCTGTGTCCCTGGAAACAAGAAAACAATTTTAGAAAATAGTCTGACTGCCATTTACACATTTTCAAAGCCATGCCAGACGAATCTGGGGCCGAATTTTTATGATGATTATTTTAAAAAGGGTTTTCATGGTTTCAACTTTTATGCACTTAACAAAATAAAAGGTTCCAATAAAGAAATGGGAATTTTAGCATTTTGTCATTACTGCATTGTCCAAAATTACAAAATAAGACAAAGTCAATGTCTTACGTGTCATGGAGAAGCACTGTATCAGGTTTGCAGGGCTACAGATAGGACTCAGAACCAGTTCCTACCTTCAAGGAACTGTACATCTCTGGAGAAATGCATCCATGGACAGATGGCTATACAGATAACTAGGATGCAAGTCCAGCTGTTGCATAGGACATAAAATACTGAAGAGGACAAAGACACAAGAGCAATTCATTCTTTCTGGTGACGGCTTACCTAACTCTTCAGCATGTCAAGGCAGTATTTCTATGCATATTTTCTTTAAACTTTACAACAACCCTATGGAATAAATGCTTTTATAATTCCCATTTGACAGCTGAACAAACTGAAAACTATAAACACCAAATAACTTTCCTAAGTAAATTGTGGAATTGGAGTTCAAACCTAGATGGTCATAACTCAGAGCCAGAAGAAAGGGGAACCAGCAGTTAGCATAATGGCTACGTCGCTGGACTCCCACGTAGTCGACCGCGGTTCACGTCCCGGACCCGGTGGCTTAAAACTCACGCCGGGCATATGTGCGTACGTGCCCAAGATCCCAAGAGGAGAATGGAGGAGAAGAGATTGCGGCGTGACCATCCCCCCTGGGGGATGATTTCTCGCTTTCTGTCTCTCTGTCTCTGTCTGTCTGGCGAGCACACGCGCCCTATAGTCTAAACCTCTCCAAAAAGAAAAGAAAAAGAGAAAAAGAAAGCATGCAAAGAAGAAATGACATTTTATCTGGGACCATAATAATCAAAGTGATAGTTGGTAAACAAATGAAAAAAAGGGAATTCCAGAGGGAACAGCATTCCAGAGCAGAAAGCATAGAAACTGGAGGCCGAAGTGCTTGATGTATTTCCATAAAGGATAGGTAGGCCACAGTGCTTCTCTGCTACTTATACAAATCCCTTCCTGCATGTATACATGCACATGCTAGCAAAGTATGAAGAATACCTGTCAATAATCCCAGAACTCATTGTTTCCTCATTTAATAAAGATTTGCTCTTTATTTCAGCCAATTCTCTGTTTGAACAAACTTGTGACATCTGTTCATGTGTCTCTGATATCCAAATCTGAAAAGAAGATAGAAGTCACACATAAGAGAAATAACCATCAAACATGGTGAGTTAATATATTTCTATTGAAGTGAATTCTGCTTTTAATTACTGATTCCAGTAGCCATTAAAAAAATTAGGATCTCATTATTTCATCGTAAACATACAAAACATGGTACTTTTTAAAAGAATTATTTTATTTAACTATATTTATTTATTTTAATTTGACCAGAGAGGGACAGAGTGAGAGAGAGTGAGAGGGAGAGAAAGGGAAAATGAGACAGCAACCCACCAGGTCCCGGACTTGAACCGTAGTTGGCCATATGGGAGTCCAGTGCCCTTAACCACCACACCACCTGCTGGTCCTGAAAATGGCAGTTCTTTACTGTGTTGTTAAAAAGTAAAATTATTCATAAGAAATGGAAAGCACTGCATTCAACTAAAGACTAACTCAACCTATTTTATTGTTCCTTCTTTATCTTTCTCAGGATTGGTATATTTTAACTTCCTTAAGTAAAACAATGTTTGTGGCAATCATTTTTTATATCACAAAGGACATCAGATATCATCATCATCATTATCCATTGTTCATAGAGGATAGCTTAGTCAATTATCAAGCAGTTATTCTATGGTGGGGAAATCTGCATATCATGAAATGTACTGAAAACAGTTGCAGAAGCATCACCGATACCCTCTAGGAGATCTAAGGGGGGGGGAATGGATGCTAAAGATTCAATATTTTTTCCACACAAAACT